CCCTAGAAAACCCAGTAATTAGCTTGAGAAACCCTGTAAATAACCTGGGAAAACCCTGTAAATAGCCTGGGAAAACCCTGTAAATAGCCATAGAAAACTCTGTAAATAGCCTGGGAAAACCCTGTTAAAAGCCTGGGAAAACCCTGTAAATAACCTGGGAACACCCTGTAAATAGACTGAGAAAACCCTGTAAATAACCTGGGAAAAACCTGTAAGTAGCCTGGGAAATCCCTGTAAATAACCTGGGAAAATCCTGTAAATAGCCTGGGAAATCCCTGTAAATAGCCTGGGAAAACCCTGTAAATAGCCTGGGAAAACCCTGTAAATAGCCTGGGAAAACCCTCTAAATAACCCGGGAAAACCCTGTAAATAGACTGAGAAAACCCTGTAAATAACTTGGGAAAACCCTGTAATTAACCTGGGAAAACCCTGTAAATAGACTGGGAAAACCCTGTAAATAGACTGAGAAAACCCAGGGGTTAAGCTCTCACTGCTGAATATTTACCTACAATTGAACATGCACTACAAAAGAAAACCAAAAACTTGAATAATTTTCATTTTTAAATATTCTGAAATTACATGTCAAAAATTTATCAAAATGTGACATAAATATAAATATTCTGAAATAAAGTATACTGAATTCATCCAAATTGAAATCTTTAAAAAATAGGGGAAAAAGTTCTCCATGAGTTATTGACTTCAATACTCTGAACTTATCTTAATATATAAACATATGTAAAAATTCACTAGTGAAATGTAGTTCAAAAATTTGATTTGTTTAACATTGCCATCAACTACAGTAAACCCACAAGCACAACCTATCATTTACAATTAGAATGAATAATAAGAACACATTAGCTACAATATGTCATTGATTTCCTCAAAAATAAGAACACACAGTGTTCAAAAAACTTAAATTCTACTAATTCTGCAACCATTCAAATCACGGCCTGATAAAACACTTACTCATTTCTTAAAGGAGCACTTGGACGAAAACGCCCGAATTGTTGAAAGTCTGGATAATCCAAATATTACGCTATATTTTGATCAAATACTGCTCCAATAATAGCTTGTTAAATTTCTTTTGATCATTTATCGACGAGAAATGAATAAAATTGCGATTTTCTGAGAGTCCGCCATTATTTTTTGTAATCATGTATCTTCTCTAGAGGACTGGGTCGAGTTTGGGTCATGACGTCATTTACTCAACTTAACCCACAACACTCGTGGCTAATCTATATGCAAACTTCAACAAACAGCTGAAAAAGTCTTCTTAGTTTTAGTTTTACGTTTGAATGAAAAAGGTTTTAAATACTAGTAAGTATGCCTTCAAACCGTTGTGTTGTCTTCGGATGCAGCAACACTTCGAACAGAAATTCCGGAATATCGTTGCATCATTGTCCGCATAAGAAGACCGAGTACGACAAATGGAAGAGGTTCGTGCGTTTGCGTCGAAAAAATTTCAACCCCACGGGTAGATTCGTGGTCTGCTCGAAGCATTTTGACGACGAATRCTTTATAAAAGCCATTCACCAAAGTGGAACTCAACGGAGATTGCTGCCGGGATCGATTCCAACAATTTGGAAAGAGCCATCGCGCGAAATTCGCAGTGGTCGAAGTCGCCGTCAGGTGGGTAAAATGTGATGAGTAAATTGTTATCTTTATGCTTTTCTCTACAATATGCGATGTAATTGACGATTTATAGAAAAATATAATTAGGATGACTTTCCACCTGAATAACCAATAATATAACTTAATTGTCACAGTCTCTTTATTTGTGGCGCCCATGTGAAATAGATAAATTCTTATCTCAACGGCAATGTGAGCTTAGATAATTTGAAAACATGTATGAATTATGAACAAAAATACGAGAAGATTTGTCATGATTTTGTTATTTATTGACTTAGAATATTTCGGTCTTTATACAAAGACCATCAACAGCAAAATGAACTGAACGCTAGTTATGTCTGAATTAATTTWTGACATTTTGTGGGTTTTCCCTGTAGGCTCTCAAAAATATTCTGACTGAAACGGTACAAGAAAGCAGCGATGAAGTGGCACAGGACAACCCAGGGTTGCAGGCATCAAGCCAACAATCTCAATTTGATGTTGATGTGGCTGAGGTATTCACAGTCTATGTAAAATTATATTCATCACATTTACTGCCTGGAAATGTTTAAAGAGCTAACTATGTATTAAAAAAGACATGATAATCAACTCCCAAATTCTTGTAGGAGCTCAAAAGTATTCTAACTGTTGGAGAACAAAGTCGAGAACAAGCTAAACAGGCTCCACAAACCTCTACCCCAGGAAGTCAGC